GGCCGCGGCTATTGAATTATGGCGGACTCGGTTCGAATGTAAATGCGAGCCACACCGTGCTACATTCTCCACTATCGGTTCTGCTGCAATGGTTTCACCTTTCCCTCTTTCGCTCTTCGAACTTCTTCTCCTGCAAGATTTACACACGTTGCTTTCGGATAAGATTACAAAAGCAACGGCGTAAGGTGCGCGGTGCTTTTAGTTGGCTTTTGTTTCCTTGTAACAATGCCCAGTTTAATATGTGTGCATATCATTTACGCTTAAACACCTTATCCCTTAAATTTGGGAAGGAAAAGTACGTACCCGTTACATTGTAAACGAACGTACATTATGACCGCGCCATTGTTCAAGAACGCATTTTTGTATTGCTGGAAAATGTCTGCGGGCGCTCATATTCAAGTGGGTAGTTTATGACCGTGCCAGGTAAGGTGCGATAAAACATGGAAGAGGGTGGGCAAGACCTCGGTACGATGCGATTAATTTTTTTTTGCTTTGGTGAGGCGTTTTATATTCGGCGATGTAATTTGTTTTAATTTTCACCTTGTTATCAAATAAAATTAACGTACGCCCGTCTTGTCGAATTAAAAGTTTACTGAAACATGGTTTGTTATTACTGCTCTACCAGCCGGAAAAAATGAAATACAATCATTTATTTTAATATTTGATTTGCCGTTTCTGGAGACGCTTCTCGCACTTCCGGTATGCGTATGCAAGTAGGGCTGAAGCTATTTTCTACTTGACTTCATCTCCACTTGCCGCCCGGGCTCGCGCTGATAAATTACCAAACTCGGAGCCACTGGCAGGTAATTCGCTGGGAACTTTAGAAATTCTTACTTCTTAACACTTTTCTCACTTTAAAGCTAGCGCGCGCGCCCGCGCGTTTGCGTTCACCATTCCTATTTTTACCCTAGCTGGCGCTCTGGATATATAAAATGCGAGGCGCTGAACCTCACGCCACATTTCTTATCCGCGCTCGATTCGACTTTCACGAGTATCCGCTCGATTTCAGCACAACTTTTCGTTTTCGATGGGGTCTCCTGTGTGTTTGTTCACTCGCGGTCACATAATGGCAGTAATCGCCAGAAAATTACTCTTTTAGCTATAATACGTCACTATTCGTATTATAGCTAGAAGCAAATAAAACGTCGAAATGAACACACCACCAAAATGCTGTACACACAATCATGGGCTTTATTGCTTTGTGTGGTTGGGTTTTATAATTCAAAATTGCGCGGTGTAATTTATACTTACTGGTTATTTTCTAGTCGTGGGCGCTCTTGAATTAATCCGCAGCGCGAAAAAATTGCTCGCAGTGTCTCGCCGTAAACATTTGCTTGCTTGCGCGCGCGTCCTTGCGCCGCAGGGGATAATCGCATTGCAGAAACCTGCACGGAGCGTCGCGCAGGTGTCGGGTTGCCTGGTTGTTCCCGGACTGCGACGAAGGAAGCCCCCGCTTATTAGGATTTAGTTAGTGCTTGATGAGATAATAACGCATACAGGCAGATACTCTGGGGCTTGAAATTTTTGCCCTCGAAGTTCACAGCCCTGGCGAAACTGTTTTTGCGCAATTTCCCTCGAGCGCAAGAGACATTTCTACATAATGGCTGTGTACTTAGCAATGCGCACACTTTTTGTGACGATCTGATGTCCGAGTATTAATACGCGACATAAAAAAAGGTTAAAAGCATCGATAAATAAACGGGAATAAATCGTTCGACTTTTGAGTTATTTTGAGTAATTATTCGACAAAGGCAAAGCGGAAATATAAGGCCAATGGGGATCACAAAAAATACACGCTCTGTTTGTATTTATATTTTCCGTTTGCGCGCCGAATGGAAAAAGGAAGAGCGCGACGAGCAATGGAGATAACGAAGTAAATCAGTAAATCAAATTCTGGCAGTAATGCTATTAACATTGATTTGGTGCGTGTGTGCATGTGTGTGGGGGTGCGCACCCTCACCGTATACTCGTATCTGCATGTGTGTGGTGCAGACGTTCGTCGTAACAAGCCCGCATTCACCTACGCCCGTGCGCCAGATATAAATATGCGCCTAGATAAGATCAAATGGGTGGAGTGAACGTCATGCTTTGTTTAATGTGATTCGTTTTGCATGTTAAACGCGTGTTACGTAAATATAGGCTGCGGGTCTTTACGCTTTAAGCCCGCGCGCCGCAACGAAATATTATTACCCATAATGCCGAATGGAATCAAAAACGTATTTCGTTCGTATGGCGGCGTGTAATACGCAAGCACATTAAGCACATTTTCTTTCTATACATTCTGCATCATGTGTCGCCTCGATTTGGGGCAGTAACTTGGATTTGCGCTCACCGCGGCATGATGGATGTAATAAAGTGAAACAATATGTCGTCAATTGTGTGTGCATAGCAGTGCGCTGGTTCTAATAACTTCTAATCGCAAACGTTGCGCCACAAAGCGACATTGAGGTGAAACACACGTTTTAGTACTACGCGACTTTATGACTTCTGTACCGCGTGCTTGATGTTTATTCGCTGCGAGCTATCCGAAAACGATTATGCTGATATCGTTCTGTATCACATCCTCAGGGCTTCGCAACTTCAGACAAGTATTTGCATACTTGCATGTCGAATATAAATGTAAATATAAATATGGATATGCAAACAGATGAAGGTATATTTATGTCTTATAATCTATCATTGTGGATATTAGAAATAAATATATTTTTTTAATACTGGAACATTTTTTCTGCTCGATTCAGGTGAAAATATATGACGTATAAGGGAAGAATTACATATTTAACTTGTTTAATTCCATGAAGTAGAAATAGTTGGACATTTCTTGATTTCCCTAGATTACGTTAATCTGAACGCAATCAGCTGCAGCTATCACTCGAGGGAGTCGCGATCGCGACGTTCCGTTTCGTTTATCGCATTCGCTAATAGATTAAAATTACAAGACGAAGAAGCGGCAAGAATCCACACCGGCCATGCGATGAAATAAATTATTCATTCGTAATAAGTGATTGAAATTAAAATATTCAAAACCCTAATGCATTTTTAACATCGTCGTCTCTTCTCTTTGCGCGCCGCGCGAGAAAAAAAGCGTCCGCTTTAACAGCTAATTCGGTTCGCTTGATAATATAAGTACCGCCCAGCCCAGTGGAAATTTTTTGTTTGGTTCTCTTCATAATGCTAATGCATGAGGACGGATAGTGCAATTTGGAATTTCTGGCCAAGTTGCGTAACTGCTCGAAACTGCTTCAACTAACAAAAACTACTAAAAATCCTCTCGGGGATTTTTGCCGCTGCATTCGACTCGAACAAAAGTGTTCTTGTGTTTATATAACATGTAAGGGACTTTTATTCTTAATTAACGGTCGGTGCAGCGCGTTTACTTTGCGAACAGCGGCCGCAAAGCGTTGGAAAGAAAGTTTAATAAAATTGTTGGAGTACTCCTAATGCAATTTTAACTCGAGGAGAATTCTGATTCCAGCAACACGACACATACACGCGTATATGTACCTATATGATGTGCGAATCCTGTTTTTATTGCGAGTGGCACAAAATTTACAAACCGGACCAAATTACCATTTTTGTTGTTTAATGCGGCACGTTAGCATGTCATAAATATTTATTGTTAACTTAATATTTCGAGCATTTTTTGGTGCGTGGGTTTCGGAGAATTTATTTCGATATTTGACGTGGCGTAAACAAGAATCAGCATAAAATTCACTTTTCGCTTTGGTTCGGCGCGTGGGCGCCGCGATCGTTTGCCATTTCGGAAACAGGAATGTTACCTTTTCTAGCGTCGCTCAAAAGCGCGTTCCCGAATAAAATTTTTAATACTTGAGGCGGCGGCGCGTTTATATTTATCTGCGGGCAATAGTAAAACGCGCATGCATCGCCGAGCAAACAAACCGAGACGACGCCGCTCTCAAAGGTGCCATTAAAGTGCCGAATTGATGAACGTCTCGGTAAGGATATCAGCCGAATGGCTCCCAGGAAACCGGACCTTTCAGCCAGCGCCGAAAACGCCTTCGCCTACAAAGCGTCTCCGCACGCGGAAGGAAGTCGACTCTTGAAATTCCTTTGCACCTTCGCCCGGCGCCTTCACAATTTCAAACGGATAGTCAGCCCACACACTCACACAGATGAAGATAAGTCACGAGACGAGCGAACTGTGGGGATAAATAGCTAGCTGCGCGCCTATCAATTATAATCAGCGAACTATTTTGAAGCGACGGCATAATTAAAGCGCTCGACGCGCTTTTGAACATTCCCCCCGCGCATTTGCGCTCGCCGGCGATGCGTCATCGTCATCGTCACAGTGCGACACATTTTCGCCTACACATGCACACGCGTGCGCTAATCACCCGGTATTAAAAACAATACACGGACCGCTTTCGCTATTAAAAGTGATTTATGCTCGACGCTGAAAAATATTCCATTGTGCTTTTTACGTAATTACGCAGAGCCAGCCGGAGAGCGCGCGCGCGCTGTGGAATTTTCGGGTGTTTTGTATTCACACAGGTTTTTCAAACATTCATTGTGCGACGTCGCATGTTATGCTATTGTAAGCTAGGATTTACTCTACGTGGCACCACCACGAGCGCAGTTTAATTGTTTCCCGACGCATTCTTAAATCCGGCGCTGACTTTTTGCAGCATGGTGGAGGCGCCCGACTACGAAATGAAATAATAGTATAAGATTGTTGGCGGTCGCGCGGTAGCGTAGAAAAAGATTTATTGCCTGTTTACCAGCGGTGCGGTGCGTGCTGAATTGACACTTTACGGGCTTCATCGAAACTACATGTATTATGCATATAAATGTTCCGCTTGGTTGGGGCACTCGTTACGCCATTCTACGCTGCACCACGCTTCGCGGAATATTGTTAATTAGATGTGGGCTAGCAAAACCGCGCGTTCAACCAATACGGGGATTTATGATTGGGTTATAAAATTATTTTCACGTTAATATAATAATTCACTTTAATAATTTTTTACCTTATTTTGTTACAGATTGAGGATGCGATGTTAATGTTCGACAAACAGACGAATCGGCATAGAGGTAAGTCTTTTTTCCAATCCTTTTATATCTCTTATCGTATATGGTAAAAAGTCCTTTCCTTTAGATGAATATTTTTCCGTTGCAATATAATCCGTAAACATATACTGAATATATTTATACGATGCGAGAGGGAACGCGGTTATCTAAATTTTAAATCCTCGCAAGCAAACTTTTTCGCTTGTGTATTAACTGACAACGCATATCTATGCATGCGGGGGCTGGGCGGTGGAAAAACGAATGATACATCGAATGCATTCGGTGTTTTTTTTTTCGCTGGGCGCACCCTCGACGCTATGCTTTATCGTCGTCGCGAAGAAAACTCGCGCGCACGTTCGAATTCAGCCGGCGAGATGCATAAATATACTTTTGAATGAATATGTGTCAAGATGTAAGTGTAGCGATAAATCTTTTCTTGTTAGTTTTATCGGAAGTTTTCCGCGCGGCGCAAACTTTTCGCCGAAGAATGCATTTCGATAATTGAAACGATCTTACCGTTGCCCGCGCGTGCACACGCCGAGTAAGATAACATTTACGTCCGCGCTGATCAGTCTCAAAGATGCAAGGGAAATGGCCAAGTTTCGTGCGCCAGATCAAAACTTTCCAGGCGCACATTCCGCCGCTCCGATGGACGCTGGCTGGCGTGCGGGAGGCATTAGCCGAAATCACTTCACCTAAAACCACCTACTAACTCAAGCGTCCTGCGACCGAGCGTGTCGTAGCTGACCGACCTCGAAACGCCACTCTCTTGCTCACGCTTCCGGACGGGCACACGGAAAACTTTCGGCCAAATTGCATTTATTTGTTTTCGCCTTTCGTCTCTTATCGAATCAAGGCGCGAGCGGGCCGCGCTACCGACGCATTGATATACACTCCCACAGCGGCAAAACAAAAACTCGGCTAAATACAAACACAAAACAATTATCTCGCCTCGAAATCCCGGCGCGTTATTTTCATTACAAATATTATTACATCAAGCAACGGTGAAAAAAATCAGCACCGCTGATAAAGCAAATACTCTTCAAACCTACGCTAAAGAAGCGTACAACACAGATATTTGTTTGGGGAAAAAATGCACGACTCGCGTAAAATGTACGCACGAATTTTGCACGCAACGGATATTTATTCAGCGTGGATATAAATCTCGAGGCGTTTCCTACAAGTTTTTCTTATCCGTGTTTATTTATCATATGCAGAGCGTCTGTATTTTTCATATTCAAATCAAATTTCGTATTTTTTGCCTGCTTGTTTCTTTCAACATTGCAGGCCGCTTTTTTGCATGTATTTCTCACAATAGACACATAACATTGAAACTACAAATACTACACAATTTGCACGGCAAATAAATGCAAATATTCGGTGTGCACGCGCAAATTTTTGACTTGCCCCAATTGCGACGCAACTGTTTGCGAAACTAACGACGTGCGCCTAAACACGTTTCGCATGGAAATCGGAATGAATAAATAACGACGCGATTTACGCACGAATAAAAAAGCACCACCGCCACGTGGATAAGCGAAAAACTTTGCGGGGTTTTGATCTCAATTAGCAAATTGGTTTTTAATAAAAACAAAAGACCTCGCCGCAGGGCTGTCGCTCAATTTTTATGATAAATTAATATTTAGCGAAATATTCTTCTACCGTTTCTTCTTAATTAATCACTCGTTATTTTTTGCCATCACAAATGCGCTCCTCGGGATGCGCGACGTATAATTTATCAAACCTGTTACTCGTGCGATGATAAAAGCAGTGTTTTTATTATTAATCCATTTATTCTCAACTTTTGCCGATGCGGCAAAAAACTAAACAGTTTTCAAGATGGAACAGTATTGAGTGAAAATTAGACCGAAATTCCATTCGGGGTGCATTCGAGCAGCATTGGATGACAGCAGAAAAAAAAACTCGAGAGAAACCGAGGGGATAAGTGGAATAATCCCGGAGCACTCGCGCAGGCCGGCCGAAACGGTCAAACTTTCTCTCTTTCGCGGCCCGGGATTCGACCCCAGTGAGTGAGTTTCAATCTGCGCTCGTGTGCGTGTGTGCGCCTGCCATGCTTGCAAATATATTGCCGGATTATCTATTGACGCAACGAGCGCAATTTTTTTCTCGCATTCATGTGCGTACGTGAAAGATTGCAGCTCGTACAACAAGACCAAAACAATAGGGGTGATTTTAATAGCAACCAACCGTTATTAATCATATACGCAACTAGGAAGCGAAGAATCACGCGGTAGTCTCTTGTTTCCAAGATTCACCACCGGGGAATACTAAAAGATTATGTGTTTTGCTTTAAAATCCACCCCACTTTAACTTTTAATAGGTATTACTAATGTTATTATCATTTATTATTATTACAATTACGCCCTGTGCGCATAGCGCTCGACGGTGAGAACGAGAGCCGCGAGCGTTCTTAATTACAACCGAGCGCCCGGCGCTTCCACCATTGCGCTTAAAACAACAACACGATGTAACACACGTCCTGTACACGCACTGTTACATTGCCGGCGTGCGTTACCTTTTCGCTCTCTCGCTTTTTGTCGGTTTGTTTGCCCCATTGCCTCGTTAGCTTCCTTCGCATTGGTATGTGGGGCGTGTAGAGCACCGAAACAAAATATGAGATTGCCTCCGAAATGCCACTCGGCAGCGCACGGGACCAGATTCATTTTTACCTTCTATAAACAATAACCATTTGTCTCTGCGGCTTCCAGTAACTGCGATATTTATACACAGATATATATCGGGCGACGTGCGAGAAAGTACCACACGCCGAACACGACGTAAACCGCACAGCGCTGCGTTTTCAACATTAAAATCCAATAACAAGCTAATAACTCGTGATTCATTGCCTGGCATTCCACGCGCCTCCCTATTAATCTATTTTAATTAAAATTGAGTCCTTTATTTGCACCGCCGCGCGGCACGAATAAATCCCGCTTCTTTCATGCGGCTGCGAAACTAGCAAACTTTTTTTTCACCTTCGACCAGACCACCCTCGTGATTTGTTGCTGTTCTATGCGGTCATTCATATTAAAACGTTATGCGATCGTACAACACACATATTGCTCTGGAAAAAACCTTTTCATTACGTTTTGAGGCGCATCTCAACATTTATGTCGCAATGAAGAAATGGAGAAATGATGAATTTGCAGTTTGGAAAGTTTACTGTGCTCGCTTGGTGAAAGAATGAAATTTTTCACGTCTGCGCGTCGCGAATATAAATCTTTTGCGAGCGCGGTAAATATTTATGAGCGTTAATTTACTCGGGAAACAAAGCGCGCGCCGGACGACTCGTACAAAAACGTCAACGCGCGCGCGCCTTCCATAGAAAAGGGGAAATCACTCGGAATTAATATTTTAGTAAAACCCAATTGAATTGTCACGAGTTTTTTTCTGCCGCCATTGTTTGCTGCGAAGCTTATCGGCGCAGAACAAACGAGTCGGTTATTTATGCAACTTGTTCGCACACTATTAAGTAAACTTTCGACGTGCGATGGGAACAAAAATTGATGGTACTTATTTGTAACAATGGAATAGCGGAACTCGGAACGCAAATTGTTTGTTGGAACTTGTTGTGTACAGTCGTAAAGTTAGCGCATTATCGTAATCAAGCGTAATGGCGCGTTGATTTTGATATTGTCAACGCGAAATGGCCAGCTCGGCTTGTTGACGAATGAAGAATAGGCAATGAGGACGCAGAGTGGACGGAATGGGGTGAGCAGTAAAACGATTGCGCTAATCGACTGCGTTACATTACGGTTGACGGATGGACAGCGCGTTCTTTTTTCATGTTCAAGCCTCGTTTGAAACTTCTAACCGGCTGTGAGTGGGTATTGGAATTAGGATTAGGTTGGCGGATGTAGAGGAAGCAAGTAGTGCGTTTGATGGAATGCGGCCATCGGAGATGTCTCGCACGTGCGACGCGGACGTCCGCGTGCGCGCACACGAAATAAATAGTGATTAAATTAACGTTTGTGTGTGACGGTGGACATTTCGATAGGAATCACCCATCAGCATATCGACAGCCGTTCGACATCTCTCGACGTCGTCGCACGGTTGACTTCAGGGCTGGCGAGCGCGCCGCGGTTCGTTCGCATCACGCACGAGTTGCACGCGGCTTACACACATCGATGGCGACGTTGTTGTTTGCGCGCCGCCGCCGACCATACCACCCGTCCGTCGGATTCAATTTGTTTGCCGTATCATTATTGACGGCCTTGTCGACTCTTGGGAATCACAACTATGCCGACGCTGCTCCCACGTCGCGTTTCTGGGGCTTCGGCGAACGTAAATTACATGAGCGACCGGCCAATTCGAATACAATTTGTGCATTAAAGCTGCCGAGCGTTAACAAGCTCCGCTCGATTTTTTGTCATGTCATTACAGCGCAAAACGTAATTGTAGGACAACCATGTCGTCCAATTTATTGTAAAAATAAACTACCCATTTGGTTGTCAATTAACATCCTAAATTGAGCTTGGATCGAAATGCATTTGGGGAATTAATTTTGCTTGACGTCCATCTTGGACTCGACCTTTCACTGCCAAATTGAATCCGAATCCGATTTCAGTGCTATTTGAACCGAACGCAACACGAATGAGAAGGGGGAGGTATCCGTTTATCCAAGTGTTGTTTGTTTGCGAAAGTTATGAGCGCGTAATTGATTGACACCTCGGCTGGGCTGGAATATCGTTTTGAATAATGCAACTGGGACAAACCGGGTGGAGACTGCGAATGCATTTATCGCTGGCGTACATGTGCCCCCGTGTGCGCTGTTCGGACAGAACGATGCCGAGTTGCAAAGTCCCGCAATGCACCCGAGAACTGGGCGAATGCGATGGAGGTAATCCGGTTATTAAATTATCGACTAGACAGCCGGGCGGTTCGGTAGCGCGCGTCACGCCGCTTAGCGCTGCGCCCTCGTTGTGTCTACCTGTCTTTCGCCCAGCGTGGAAGACACGTCGGAAACGGGTTCAATATACATGATTGTTTCCGAAAATGAATAT